TCACTTACCTCTGGAATTTCTCCTTGCTCTAAGGTGAAGACCTCCTGGAATTTCTTATTCAATTCCTCACACACTTCCTTGTCATTTGTAGTGAATCCTTCCGCCCCTATCCTTAATCTCATAACCTGTTCCTTTACTGTTGTCTTTCTCCTAATGTGGCTATGCAACAATTTAGGCTGACACACACACACACAATGTGTGTGTGTGTGTGTGTGTGTGTGTGTGTGTGTGTGTGTGTGTGTGTGTGTGTGTGTGTGTGTGTGTGTGTGTACTCACCTAGTTGTGCTTGTGGGGGTTGAGCTCTGGCTCTTTGGTCCCGCCTCTCAACCGTCAATCAACAGGTGTACAGGTTCCTGAGCCTATTGGGCTCTATCATTTCTACACTTGAAACTGTGTATGGAGTCAGCCTCCACCACATTGCTTCCTAATGCATTCCATTTGTCAACCACTCTAAACTAAAAAAGTTCTTTCTAATATCTCTGTGATTCATTTGGGCACTCAGTTTCCACCTGTGTCCCCTAGTGCGTGTGCCCCTTGTGTTAAATAGCCTATCTTTATCAACCCTGTCGATTCCCTTGAGAATATTGAATGTGGTGATCATGTCCCCCCTAACTCTTCTGTCTTCCAACGAAGTGAGGTTCAATTCCCGTAGTCTCTCCTCGTAGCTCATACCTCTCAGCTCGGGTACTAGTCTGGTGGCAAACCTTTGAACCTTTTCCAATTTAGTCTTATGCTTGACTAGATATGGACTCCATGCTGGAGCCGCATTCTCCAGGATTGGTGTGACATATGTGGTATATAATGTTCTGAAAGATTCCTTACACAAGTTTCTAAAGGCCGTTTTTATGTTAGTTAACCTGGCATATGCTGCTGATGTTATCCTCTTGATATGAGCTTCAGGGGACAGGTCTGGCGTGATATCAACCCCCAGGTCTTGCTCACTTTCTCAGACTCTTGAAGTATTTCATCTCCCAAATGATACCTTGTATCTGGTCTCCAGCTGCTCCCTACCCTAATCTTCATTACATTTGCTTAGGTTAAACTCTAACAGCCACTTGTTCGACCATTTGTGTGTGTGTGTATGTGTTTGTGTGTGTGTGTGTGTGTGTGTGTGTGTGTGTGTGTGTGTGTGTGTGTGTGTGTGTGTGTGTGTGTGTGTGTGTGTGTGTGTACTCACCTAGTTGAATTCACCTAGTTGTGCTTGCACGATCAAGCAACTGCTCTTAAGCCCCGCCTTTCGACCGTCAGTAGTTCAATGCAATGATTCTTTTTCGCTCGCATTTTTGTCAATTTACATTTAAAGTTGAGTTTCGAATTGGCTTCTACATCATCATCTATTATTTAGGATGATGATTTCCACTTATTTCGGACTCTAAGACTAAACAAATTTCTTTCTGACATCCTTATTACTCATTGTGTTTCCAGTTTCCAATTATCGTTCTTGTGTTTCTTAATTTAATCTGAGCACTGCATCTATGTCTACTTTGACAATATCTCTTAGTATCTTGTACGTCGTTATCATGTCTGCACTATTGCCTCTTTCCTCAAGTGTAGTGACGCTCAGTTCTCTCTCTTCATAGCGCAGTTCCCTTAACATTAACTTTATAGCGAGTCTTGTATATTTTAGTCCCTTTTCTAGTTTTGTTTTTCTTTTGTTCTTCTTAGGGTCGGGGTTCCATGCTGGGGCAGCATACTCAACAACAGCCTCACACAGCATGTATCGAGCGCTCGCAACGGAGCTTTTTTCCAAGTTCCAAAATGATAAACAGACGTTTGCCAGTATGGCGTCTCCTGCCTTTATGTTATTATTCTTGCTGATGTGGGCCTCGGGTGTTAGGTCTCGTGTCATGTCCACACATAGGTCGTTGTCTTTCTCAGAAGTTGGAAGTTGTGTTCTCTTTATCCTGTGCTGTATTTGAGGACTTTTGTTCCAGCTCCTATTCTCTTAACCTTACATTTGTTAGGGCTAAAGTCTACAGTTGCCCTTTCTCAGACCATCTCTGGAGATTGTCCAGTTCATCTTGAAATGTATTGCAGGCCTCCTCAGTGCTGATTCGACTCATTAGCCTCGCATCGTCAGCAAAGAATGAAGGGAAGGGAGCTACCAGGAGAAAGCACAAAGCCTATACAGAACCATATATAAATGTATATGTATAAATGAACTATATATAAACTATATATAGAACATCCCGACTATATAGAACTTGGAAGAAATCGGGATAAGGGTTTGTAATGGGACGAGGAGGGGGGGGGGGAGGAATGAGCTTACATGCCTTAGATCGTTTGCATATACTAGGACAAGAATTAATGGTCTTTAGTAACTACCCTTAAGGTACTCCATTCGTTATCTCTCTCCAGTCTCATACCTCTCCTCTTACTATGACTCTTTGTCCCCCCCCCCTCTTCCTGAAAGGTGCTCCTTCACCCACTTTAGTACTTTTCTCGTTACACCCGCCGCCTGTTTTCCGAGTTTACATAGAAGTTGATAGAAGTTGCTTGTGAGGAAGTGTCAAATGCCTTAGGGCAGTCCAGGAAAATGCAGTCAGCCCAACCCTCTCAATCCTGTTTAACTGTTAGGTTTTTTGTTATAGAGCTCTAAAAAAATTGGGTAAAGCCAAAATTTTCCTTGGATGAATCCATGTTCATGCTTGGAAAATTGTGTATTTTCTAAATGATTGATGAGACTTCTTTCTGATTTGTCACTCTAATATCTTATAGGGAATACTTGGTTATGCTACCGGTCTGCAGTTTAGTAACTTCTGTCTTCCTCCCGTCAAATAAGTTCCACATTGGCCACTTTTCAAACGTCTGAAAGATCACCCGTTTCTAGTGAGGAGGTTTTAAAGGCTGTGTGTGCAAGGACAGTGTCGGCGGCTGCGTGTTTTAGGATGCCTGGTTTTACTTGCTTGAAAGTCACTTTGACAACGCACTGAGACGAGACGCAACTTTTTACTCATATGATTTGTAGCTCAGAGTCTCTTTACTCAACGTCTTCTGTGGCTGTGGAAACTTTGACTTGATCCTTGTGTAGTTCTGGAACTTTTTAGTTAACACCTTGTGCAGCTCAGGAATATTTTACTCATCTCCTCGTGTAGCTCAGGAACTCTTACTCAACCCCTAGTGTAGCTCAGTAACTCTTACTCAACCCCTAGTGTAGCTCAGGAACTCTTTCTCAACGCCTCGTGTAGGTCAGGAACTCTTACTCAACGCCTCGTGTAGCTCAGGAACTCTTACTCAACCCCTAGTGTAGCTCAGTAACTCTTACTCAACCCCTAGTGTAGCTCAGGAACTCTTTCTCAACGCCTCGTGTAGCTCAGGAACCCTTACTCAACGCCTCGTGTAGCTCAGGAACTATTACTCAACGCCTCGTGTACCTCAGGAACTCTTACTCAACGCCTCGTGTAGCTCAGGAACTCTTACTCAACGCCTCGTGTAGCTCAGGAACTCTTAATCAACGCCTCGTGTAGCTCAGGAACTCTTTATTAAACATTTCATCAGACTTTAGAGCCTGTGCACCCTTCGAGGGGAATTTCCTGGCCACCAAACTTGACTTACCCGGAAGTTAGTCAAATTTACTTTACTTCAGAACGCATTTCAGGATTGAAATATACTCTCAGTGAAATATACTTCTGAGTTGCGGAATACACCTCTCGGTGTATATCCACCCTAGGTGTACTCACCTGGTTGTGCTTGCCAGAATTGAGCTTCGGCTCTTGGGTCTCACCTCGTGTATGTAGTCTGCCTCCACCACACCATTGCCTAGTGATGTTAACAACATATGTCATTGTTAACTACACTTGTTAACCATTTGTTAACTACTTATCCCTCGGGCTTGGGCGGGGTAAAAATTTCCGCCCGAGCGCAAACACAGATCAAACAGCTTACTTGATCACATCTCGGGTCAGGTGCTTACACATGGTAGTTCTGAAACTACCTAATCCTATCTCGCTCTCAGGATATGCCACTAGTACAAAAATGCGACTGTTTGGCCTGACCAGAAACGGACCTGAACCTGAACAATCCACCTGATCTATCGAGACCGATGCCTTGAAAACGTCAATATTATGGTGGTTGATATTTTACTAATATGCCGCATTCTTACACGTCTGGTCGACTCCGTACAAAATGAAACCTAATAAGAGAAAGGACAGGTTGAATAACATTTTTATACACCGGTACTTTTAACATACTAAAAAAAGAGGGTATTCAATTTGACAATTTTTGTTTGTCTGACATACACCAGATGTGAGCTGCAGGAGCCTCATATGTGGCGCTATCAAATTCAAACTCTAATATCTTGTTTGTTGATTTACAAAATTTGCCCATTGAAGAGAACGCTTCGAGATTTATTGTACATTTAGTATATTATATGGATCCCATAGAACATTATAATACATATGTATTATAGCTTGGTACATTATAGTACATCTGTACTATAATTTAGTACATTATAGTACATATGAATTATATAATTTAGTACAATATAGTACATATGTACTATAATTTAGTATATTATAGTACATATGTACTATAACGCTGTATATTATTGTACATATGTACTATAATGCAGTACATTATACTACATATTTACTACAATTTAGTTCATTATATGTATACTAGCAGTACCTGGCCATGCGTTGCTGAGCCACAGCAACCTTCCCTGCCCCCCAGTCCTTCCCCCATTCTCCCATCACCCTTGGCCTCCCAACCATTCTCCATTCCCCCATCCCCTCGTTCCCACCATCCCAAACTCCCCCGTCCCCTTGTCCTTCCCCACCATTACCCCCTCCCTCGTCCCCCTCGTCATCCCCACCATTCCCTATTCCCTCGTCCGATGCCCTTCCAAATGGTCTCAATGTCCCATCGGAAAATTGGGAAAATGAAGTGATCTGATGATGATGGAAAATTGGGAAAATGAAGTGATCTGATGATGATGGAAAATTGGGAAAATGAAGTGATCTGATGAAGTTGATTTTTTAACTGTTTTTCTTATATTTCAGTGATGGGATCATCAGATCACTTCATTTTCCCAATTTTCCGATGGGACATTGAGATCATGTCCAATATGTACGCTAAGGGAGAACTCTATCAAAGGCCCACGCATTTTCAAACACTCTCCTGCTACATGTAAGGAGCATAACTGGCCGGCCTCTCACAGTGTTCAAGATGGAACACGATAAATACCTCCAAAGAATTATTTCAGTTTCAGAGACGGTAATGAATAGAATGCACTAGGAACTGATGTGGCGGAGGCAGACTCCATACAGAGTTTCAAATGTAGATATGATAAAAGCCCAGTAGACTCTATCATATCTACTTGTACACCAGTTGATAGACGGTGGAGAGGCGTGACAAAAGAGCCGAAGATCTACCTTTGCAAGCACAACTATGTGAGTACTGATTATCCAAGCAAGTATACTTTAGACATAATTGTAATTCAGGACTTGAGAAAACTTCAAAGTAAAGTCACCAATAAGCGCGATACACTCCTCGGAGTATATCTTCCTTCAATGATTACACTCGAGAATTGATTGGCCTTAAGTCCAACATTACCTCGGACAAGCCGGGAACACATTTCGGTAAACAATCCCAAGATCGTTCTAAACACAATTGGCCGAAGTCATTTTCATCCAACAACCAACATAAAGTTTTATTGAATCAAGTGTTTCAGCTTACTCAAACCTCAACTCTCCGTCAAGCTGAGTTGGTGCCGCTGCGGCTGTCTCCCGAGGCACATTGTTAATATCATTTATGGCGTTATAAACTATTTTCTCAAACAAATATTTACGTGCTTTGGTTTCCTGAATAGAGTCGCTTAGGATGATGCACGTATCACTTCATATGTTTTATGGGACTCTATAATTCAGATATGCTCTTTGCACAAGCTGTTCTCTAGACAGGCGCTTCAGCTCAAAAACCTACGCTACATGTGTTTATACTCTTCGTAAAGTACAGTTAGAAACTATATTCTCAAGACATCTTTACTGTTTTATAATATGGAGAAAGGCTTATGTTAAGTTAGGTTAATTGTTTTGTTTACTTTGTCATTTATTTGTAATTACTTATTATTGGTGAAGCATATTTGACAATTTTCTTTGTGGGTTAGAATTGAGCAACCAGACGAGGCTCTGAAGTCACATTCTGACTTACGTTGATTTCCTCTCGTTCAGTCATATTTTCCATGTGCGCATTCATCGTACGTGCTGTGTTGTCAAGATCTATATTTTATCATAGATAACAATATAATTATATATTTGAACTGTGTGAATAGTTACGCTAAGGTTAATTTTTAAGTGCTTAGATTCAAATGGAAAGCAACTTTTCCTCAGGCAAGGCTCGTTAAAGAGCCTTGCCTGAGGAAGCTGACTCCCCCCCCCCCTCCCAACAGCTGACTCCGACGCATTCATCAGTCTTAATGTTTTGTGAATTAAATATAGGTTTTCCTCGCATATAAATTAGGAGAAGGTTATGTTAATTAGGTTAGGAGTTTGGGTTACGTTGGCAATTATTTGCATTTGGAGGATATAGGTGAAGCATTTACAGAGTTGCTATTCGAACGGAGGTCATCAGACAAGCACTGTTCGAGAAATGTTTGAACATCATCACTTGCAAGTCGCGTGTAAATGTTTTTTACATTGCGGTTTATATAATTTACATAAATATTATATAATTCGGCGGCTGGATTATAACGAGCATTTGGTCTTTCTTGATAGGGACAGGCTGCTGTGGCAATGGGAATTGAACCAAGAACTGCTCGATGAATATTTGAATGTAATCAGTTGAGTCGTGTGTTTTCGTTCATTAACAGTCAGCTCGTTATCAACAAAAGGCCAAATGTTCACTCGGTTCAAACACCAAATCCCTCGTGAATGAATGAAAAACACTCGTCACACGACTCACAACTAATGATCGAACATTTCTCGATCAGTGCTTGTCTGACGACCTCTATTCGAATAGCAACTATAAAAATACTTTACCCACTTACTACAAATACTAATAATTACCCACTGGACACGAGCACGTAACCTAATCTACACTTAAATATGCACAATATGCTAATATATATTATTATGCATGTCATTTGAGAACATTCTTATTTTGGATGAAGAGTATGTTAAAGTTGATGAGTGTGTCATTGGGGATGGGTCGCTGGATGCCGTGAACAGATCCCGAGGATGGGATGATGATCAACCACATCTCCCACACTTAAAGGCCTATATAATGCCAGCTTTCTGGTGTTCGGGAAGTTCTTCTACTCCCCAAGCCCGGCCCGAGGCCAGGCTTGACTTGTGAGAGCTTGGTCCAACAGGCTGTTGATTGTAGCGGCCAGATTCACCGCTCTGAAATGAGCAGATTCACTTTACTTAATCACTCACAGTATCACGCAAGTGCATCAATTACAGTATAGGGTACAAAATGGTACTGATGAGCTATAACAATGCACACATCGTTTATTTCCTAACAACCAATCCGACGATGCCGTCAAAGATAGCAATTATAGAGTTAACCAATTTTTTAGCCAAGTTCCCTCCACTCTGGTTTACCAGTTTTGTCCCTCATTAAAAGATCTTTAAATTGACGTGTATATCCTTACTTCTCTACAAAGAGAACTTACCAACAACTTTCTTGTCACAACTTACCAACAACTTTCTTTAAAACGTTATTGTGATGCAATATTGAACAACGGAATAAAGAGCGTCGTGGTTAAGTAATGTGTTTGCTGGTATATAATTAATTACATCATAAAGTAATTAGCAAGTGCTCTTCCTTGTATGGTGAAAAGGGCTTGTGTACAGCAGTGTAATATCACACAAATAAATTACAATGAAAGTGTCCATGATTATTTCTAATGAACTGTACAGTTAATGTAGGTAAACAAGGCTATAATTACCTAATTCCAGAGTTAAACATGATTAATATATTTTTTTAATTTTTTGCAATTTTGTGCTCATTTAAGATTTTTAATTTTAATCCGACTGAGCTGTTTATTATTAATTAGACCAGGGCAAGAGGCACGAGGGCATCCTGGTTATGTCAGTCCTATAGATCGTTAAGTTGTTACAGGACAAATGGTTCCAAGACAACGTACTACAGGACAAGTTATTTAATGATATGTTGATCCAGGGCAAGTTTCACAGTGGTCAAGTTGTTCCAGGGCAGCTTTCTCAGTGGTCAAGTTGTTCCAGGGCAACTTTCTCTGTGGTCAAGTTGTTCCAGGGCAACTTTCTCAGTGGTCAAGTTGTTCCAGGGCAACTTTCTCAGTGGTCAAGTTGTTCCAGGGCAACTTTCTCTCAGGTCAAGTTGTTCCAGGGCAACTTTCTCTCTGGTCAAGTTGTTCCAGGGCAACTTTCTCTCTGGTCAAGTTGTTCCAGGGCAACTTTCTCAGTGGTCAAGTTGTTCCAGGGCAACTTTCTCTCTGGTCAAGTTGTTCCAGGGCAACTTTCTCAGTGGTCAAGTTGTTCCAAGACAACTTTCTCAGTGGTCAAGTTGTTCCAGGGCAACTTTCTCAGTGGTCAAGTTGTTCCAGGACAACTTTCTCAGTGGTCAAGTTGTTCCAGGGCAACTTTCTCAGTGGTCAAGTTGTTCCAGGACAACTTTCTCAGTGGTCAAGTTCTTCCAGGGCAACTTTCTCAGTGGACACGTTGTTCCAGATCAACTTTCTCAGTGGTCAAGTTGTTCCAGGGCAAATTTCTCAGTGGTCAAGTTGTTCCAGGGCAACTTTCTCAGTGGTCAAGTTGTTCCAGGGCAACTTTCTCAGTGGTCACGTTGTTCCAGACCAACCTTCTCAGTGGTCAAGTTGTTCCAGGGCAACTTTCTCAGTGGTGAAGTTGTTTCAGGGCAACTTTCTCAGTGGACAAGTTGTTCCAGGGCAACTTTCTCAGTGGACACGTTGTTCCAGATCAACTTTCTCAGTGGTCAAGTTGTTCCAGGGCAACTTTCTCAGTGGTCAAGTTGTTCCAGGGCAACTTTCTCAGTGGTCAAGTTGTTCCAGGGCAACTTTCTCTGTGGTCAAGTTGTTCCAGGGCAACTTTCTCAGTGGTCAAGTTGTTCCAGGGCAACTTTCTCAGTGGTCAAGTTGTTCCAGGGCAACTTTCTCTCTAGTCAAGTTGTTCCAGGGCAACTTTCTCAGTGGTCAAGTTGTTCTAAAGCAACTTTCGCAGTGGTCACGTTGTTCCAGGGCAACTTTCTCAGTGGTCACGTTGTTCCAGGGCAACTTTCTCAGTGGTCAAGTTATTCTAGGGCAACTTTCTCAGTGGTCAAGTTGTTCCAGACCAACTTTCTGAGTGGGCAAGTGGTTCCAGGGCAACTTTCTCAGTGGTGAAGTTGTTCCAGGGCAACTTTCTCAGTGGTGAAGTTGTTCCAGGGCAACTTTCTCAGTGGTCACGTTGTTCCAGGGCAACTTTCTCTTTTGTCAAGTTGTTCCAGGGCAACTTTCTCAGTGGTCAAGTTGTTCCAGGGCAACTTTCTCTGTGGTCAAGTTGTTCCAGGGCAACTTTCTCAGTGGTCAAGTTGTTCCAGGGCAACTTTCTCAGTGGTCAAGTTGTTCCAGGGCAACTTTCTCTGTGGTCAAGTTGTTCCAGGGCAACTTTCTCAGTGTTCAAGTTGTTCTAGGGCAACTTTCTCAGTGGTCACGTTGTTCCAGGGCAACTTTCTCAGTGGTCAAGTTATTCTAGGGCAACTTTCTCAGTGGTCAAGTTGTTCCAGACCAACTTTCTGAGTGGGCAAGTGGTTCCAGGGCAACTTTCTCAGTGGTGAAGTTGTTCCAGGGCAACTTTCTCAGTGGTGAAGTTGTTCCAGGGCAACTTTCTCAGTGGTCACGTTGTTCCAGGGCAACTTTCTCTGTTGTCAAGTTGTTCCAGGGCAACTTTCTCAGTGGTCAAGTTGTTCCAGGGCAACTTTCTCTGTGGTCAAGTTGTTCCAGGGCAACTTTCTCAGTGGTCAAGTTGTTCCAGGGCAACTTTCTCAGTGGTCAAGTTGTTCCAGGGCAACTTTCTCTCTGGTCAAGTTGTTCCAGGGCAACTTTCTCAGTGTTCAAGTTGTTCTAGGGCAACTTTCTCAGTGGTCACGTTGTTCCAGGGCAACTTTCTCAGTGGTCAAGTTATTCTAGGGCAACTTTCTCAGTGGTCAAGT